GTGAAAATCAAATAAATTTTTTTTATAGGTCAGAATGGCCCGTTCTAGATGCAGAACAGCCCGTTCTGGTTTCACTTTTTATGTGCTAATTTTGATTTTAAAACGGTCCATTCTGATCCATTTTCCATGTGTTATTTTTTAATCTGGAACGGTCCGTTCTGATTTCAGAACGGTCCATTCTGAACGTGAACAGTAAATGGTGCTAATTGGAGAAATAAATTTGTACAATTGCTATTTGGGTAATTTTTCTTTAAATAGTATTATTTTTGTAAAAAATTCTATGTTAAATAGTCATAGCGAGAATTTTTTCGATTATAATAATTCTATCCAACTTAAACATAATTATCTATAAAAAAAAGTTCTTCTAAGTGTTGATGTACTTTAGAAATTAAAGTGTAACAATTTTGACTCATAATTATATATAAATGATATGGATCTTTTCGACTTAATTTAAATTTCCACTTAGATTTATATTTTTTTTAAGAATATATGATTAACATTAAATTATAACAAAATTTTTCTATGCTCCATTTATGTTCATCGTTGTTAATCATTATTCTTCATGTTCGTTGTTGTTTTTGACAACAAGTTCTTTGCACAATATTATTGGGCTCAATCATATAATAGTAAAAAAAATCATCGTTACTCTTAATACTATCTTCATTGGTTAATCATCCAATAAATGCATAAGTGTACTCTTTAAATATCTTACAAATAAAGAGAAAGTGAACAACTTGATAAAAATAGAGCTTAATGGAGTGAAATTTTTTTATTTATTTATTTTTATGTTTATGATATATATTTTTTAAAATAAAAGTATTAAATTTATGTGACAATTTTAATTAAGCTGAAAAGATCTTAATCGTTTATATAATTAAAGCTCAAGATTGTTGCACTTTACATTTTAAAGTGCATGTTGCACTTTAAAGGAGCCTTATATATATAAACTATAGTATCTCCACTAGAGACAATAGGAAAGACTCTTGTAAAGTGCAACATGCACTTCAGAAGGTAAAATGCAATAGAGGTTAATAAGGAGTACACTTATGCAATAATGATGAATGTAAGGAATCGTTAAACATTGAAATTTATCCATGATTCAAACTCAAAGCTTCCTTTACCTCTAGTTAATCCAAACCGAGAAAAGGAGAAGAAAAGGAAGAAACACGACTCCAACTTGGCATTTTTGACTCTATAAGTTTTGAATCACTAACAATCACCTAGGATCAACTATAGAGAAGGGAAAAGTAAGGATTTTTGGTAAAAAGGGAGAAGAAGGTTATGAACTCCATAGAACTTCTCTATAGCTTATCTACAAAATTTCTTAAAATATGAATTTATGAAGTTCACGTCTTAAGAAAAATTTTATATTTCATTCCCTAGTTAAACCAAGTTAACTAAAAATGAGACTATTTTAGAGACAAGCTAATTCTTAGGTTCCCTAAACCCTCAAAAGCTCTAAAACAATCATCAATTTTAATTTAGATATTATTTTAGTCTAAGAGTTTGTTATTAGTTATTCTCGTCTCAACAAGTGTTCTCACTTAAGTCACCAATTATATTATATATATGGATTAAGGCATTAGTAGGTAGGTTTTTCTCACTTATATACTACTCAACATGTGTCCAACTTTAACCAATGTGAGACTTATTTCACACTTAAACTCCAACACTTTCCCTCAAGTGTGAATTTCTTCCACATGGTTACGCTCCCTCTCAAGCGAAAGTTTTTTTTTAGTCCAGGAGTATTCAATGGCGGCCTTACTTATACTACCATTGCACATCAACAACACATGTCCTCCACACCTCTAGGGAGACTTTCAATATAAGGATGATCCCACTCTTGGATCTCTTGTCAATTCCATTATGTAGGATCTTACTCTACCAATGATCATCAATCACTTGGTCGAACCATCAATTATAATACCACTATTAGGGAGTTTTACCTTAGGGAGCACTATGCACAATATGGATAGTCAATTCCATTATTCAAGATCCCACACTTTGCCAATGATTATTGGTCACTTGGTCGAACTATTGACTCTAATACCGTCATTGGAAAGTTTTACTTTAGGGATCACTTTGCATAAATAGCCAATTCCATTATTCAGGATCTCATTCTACCAATGATCACTAATTACTTAGTCAAATCATCAACTCTGACTGTTGAAAGTTTTACATTAGAAAACACTAATACAATGTATACCGTATGGTGGCCGAATCGCCCGAATACCCGAGACCGTTGCTTGGTAGCCTCGGCCACGACTAGTGCTCGGTCACGAATCTCTTCTACTGTGTCCAAGTTTGTTCGGAGTTCGGCTTCACTGCTTGCTTCGTTAAAGTGGGCTCGGCGGAATGACGGTTCTCCAATTTCCACCGGGATCATCGCGTCGGATCCATAGACCAACCAGAAAGGTGTTTCTAGTGTGGTTGACTGGGGGGTGCATTGATATGCCCATAACACCTCGGGTAGCTGCTCGGCCCATGCTCCCTTTGCTTCCCCTAGACGTTTCTTCAGTTCTGAAAGGATGACCTTGTTGGCTGACTCGGCCTGACCATTCGTTTGCGGGTGTTCGACCGATGTGACCTTGTGCTGCACTCCTAAGCCGGCTAGGAATTCGTTTAGTTTTTGGTCGGTAAATTGCAGGCCGTTGTCGGTCAGAAGAGTGTGTGGGACACCGAAACGGGTGATAATATTCTTCCATAGAAACTTTTGGACTTGATGGGCCGAGATACACGCCAAGGGTTCGGCTTCGATCCATTTGGTGAACAGGTCGACGGCAACGATGAGAAATTTGCATTGGCCCTTGGCGACCGGGAAAGGTTCGAGTATATCGGCACCCCAAGTGGCGAATAGCCATGCTGGGGGAATGCAATGTAATTGCTCGGCCGGCTGATGGACCAAATTGCCATGCTTTTGACACAGCAGGCACTTCTTTATGAACATAGCGTAGTCGGTGTTCATGGTTGTCCAATAGTACCCGGCTCGTAGGAGTTTGGAAATGGTTGTCCTTGCTCCCGAATGCAGTTCACATATACCCTCGTGCACTTCTCTCGTCACATAATCAGCCTCGGCGGAGTTGAGGCACTTGAGTAACGGGGTAGAGAAACCGCGTTTGTACAGCTGGTCGGCGATGACAACGTATCTGCCGGCTTGGGTTCTTAGCCGTTTGGCTTCGGACGGATCGGTCGGTGTGTTTCCATTTACGAGGAACTCTTTGATTTTGGCTCGCCAGTCTTGGGAATCGTCTTGATCGGCGCAGTCGGCATTGACATTTGCCACCACTTCTGCATCGACACTAGGGCGGTCGATCTCTTGTTGGATTATCGTTCTCAAGTGCCCCGGCTTTTTGGTCGCGGCCAGCCGAGCCAACTGGTCGGCACGGGCATTGTCTTTGCGTGGGATGTGCTCGACCGACACCTCCTGAAAGCCCACTTTTATTTTTTGATAAGCGTGATAATACTTCATCATGCTGTGATCCTTTACATGGAAGCTTCCACCAACTTGCTCGGCCACCACTTTGGAGTCGGTTCGACATTTGACTTTTGATGCACCCATGTCCTCGGCCAGTCTTAATCCTGCCAATAAAGCTTCGTATTCGGCTTGGTTGTTCGAGGCTTTGAACCGGAAGCGCAGGGATTGTTCCAATGTTATCCCTCTCGGTCCTTCTAGGATCACTCCTGCCCCGCTCCCCTGGCTGTTTGAGGATCCGTCCACATGGAGGGTCCACCATGGTTCCTCGAATTGGCCTTGTGGGTGAAGTTCATTTATGAAGTCGGCCAAACACTGAGCCTTGATCGGTCCCCTCGGTTTGAAGGTGATGTCAAACTGCGAGAGTTCTATCGACCAGGCCATCATTCTTCCGGCGAGTTCGGGCTTCCTTAACACCTTAGCGATGGGGCAGTCGGTGTGTACAACAACTTGGTGGCTTTGGAAATAATGGCGTAGGCGTCGGGAAGTGTGTACTAGACCGAGCGCCACTTTTTTCGATCAACTGGTACCGGGTTTCTGAATCTTGTAGCAGTCGGCTGACAAAATACACGGGAGCTTGGTTGCCTTCTCTTTCCTGCACCAGAACCGAGCTGATCGCCTCCTCAGACACGGCCAAATACACCAGTATTGGGCTGAGAGGGTCAAGCTTCGCAAGGGTCGGGGGCGTCGCCAAATTCGTCTTCAAGGCTGTGAAGGCTGCTTCGCAGTGTTCGTCCCACAAGAAGGTCGATGCCTTCCGCAGGAGCTTTGTCATCTGGCTGATTTTGTCGCCTAACCGTGGGAGGAATCGGGATAAGGCGACTAGTCTCCCAGAGAGGCGTTGCAATTCCTTGAGGTTGCTTGGGCTTCTCATGTTCAACGCGGCCTGACATTTGTCTCGGTTCGCTTCTATGCCTCTTGGCGATAGCATGAAGCCTAAGAATTTGCCTCCCTTGACCCCAAAAGTACACTTCTCGGGGTTTAGCCTCATGTTGTGCTTGCGGAGTTCGCCGAAAATTTCGGCTAGGTCCGTGATGTGCTTGGTGAGAGAATTGGACTTGACCACCATATCATCCACGTAGATCTCGATGTTTCGACCGATTTGTCCCTGGAATACTTTTTCCATTAACCTCTGATAGGTCGCCCCGGCGTTCTTCAATCCAAAAGGCATGACTCGGTAACAGAAGTTGGTGTTCTCAGTGATGAATGTCGTCTTCTCCTCGTCAGAAGGGTGCATCCTTATCTGATTGTAGCCGGAATAGGCGCCGAGGAAGCTGAAGATAGAGTGCCCGGACGCTCCGTCGACAAGTCGGTCGATGCAAGGGAGTGGATAAGCGTCCTTGGGGCATGCTTTATTGAGGTCGGTGTAGTCGGTACACATTCTCCATTTTCCATTGGACTTTTTTACCAAAACCACGTTAGCTAGCCAAGTCGTGTACCTGACTTCCCTTATGAACTTAGCCTCTAACAATTTTTTCACCTCGGCGTCCGCTGCTTTTCGCTTCTCCTCCCCCATCTTTCTTTTCTTTTACACGACGGGTCGCGCGTCTCGGCATACGGCTAACCGGTGGCATAAGAACTTGGGGTCTATCCCCGGCATATCTGATGCCCTCCATGCGAATAGGTCTCGGTTATCCCTCACAACGCCCTTGATTCGTCTTGAGTCGGCTTCGCTCAACTGAGATCCCATATTTGTGATTTGTTCGGGTGTTTTGCCTAGCTGAAAAGGCCTGAGGTCCTCGGTGGGCTCGATTCGTTCGTCTTCGCCTAACCGAGGATCGAGTTCGATGTCTTCCGTCGTCTGCTGCCCTACTACTTTCACCCCTTTCGTCCTCGGGGAGTCGGTCATTGGCTGTACCTTAAGACTGGAGAGATAGCATTCTCGTGTCATTTTTTGATCAACATGTACGGTTATCACTTGTCCATCTCTCGACGAAAACTTCATGCACAAGTGGGGGGTCGAGAGAATCGCCCCGAGGGCGTTAATGGAGGGTCGACCTAGTAGGATGTTATACGATGTGTTTGCGTGCACCACGATGTAGCGGATCTTGATCTCTCGGGAAGGCTTTTGATCGAACCCGAATCGGGTGTACAGGTCGATGCACCCTCTCGTCATCACCCTTTCGCCTGAGAAGCCTACCAGTGGCTCATGGTACGGCTCTAGGCTCTCCTCGAGAATTCCGAGCTGTACAAATGTATTCCAGTACAATATGTCGGCCGAGCTCCCCTGATCAACCAAAGTTTTCTTTACAATGCAGTTGTGTACTTCGATGGAAATCACCATGGGGTCGTCCTGAACAGGATCAACCCCCCGAAAATCTCGGTTGGAAAAGGTTATGGGTGGCATCCTAGGCATCCTTGGCTGGTTCACACTATTTACCGACCGCATTGCCCGTAGGTGTTTTTTCCTCGCCGAAGAGGTGGAACCTCCTCCGGCGAAGCCCCCGGCTATCATATTTATTATCTTCCTTGGTCGGTCATCGTCTTCTCGAGAATGCCTTGACTGGTCTCTCCCTTCGTTTGACCGGGATCGACGGCGTCGGTCTCTCGGTGGGGGTGCTTCATGTGAGTGGTGGCGGTTACTCCCCCTCGACTGGTGGTTCTGGGCCGTGATGAAGCTTGACAGGTGGCCCTGTTTGATGAGGTCCTCAAGTTTGTCTTTTAATGCCGAGCATTCTTCGGTCGAGTGTCCTCTGTTTCGGTGGAAATGGCACGTTTTCGCCTTATCGGCTCTCGGGGGAGTGTTCTCCCTTTTCGGCATCACAAGGATTTCGGAAGCGAGGGCCTGCTCCATCACCTTGACCCTGCTCGTATTCAGGGGGGTGTAGGCGGTGTAACGTGGTCCTCTCGGCGGTCGAGTGCTCGAGGACTCGGCATTCGCCTTTTTCAGGGGCTCTCGGCCTGGCTCTTTTCGGCCGTAACCCTCTTCGGCCCTGGCCTGGTTTCGGGTCTCCGCCAGTTCCTCCATTTGCATATACTTCTCGGCTCTTCGTCGGAGGTCATTCATATCAACGGGTGGTTTTTTGCACAAACTGTTCACGAATGGTCCCGGCCTGAGGGCCGTGCTCAGCCGATCCAATGCCACGGCAGGATTAAGATCACCAATCTCCATTGCAATCTTGTTGAATCGGTCCATGAAGTTTCTCAGGCTTTCTTTCTTTTCCTGACGGACCCCGGCCAAGGCTAATGAGGTCGTCTTGTACGGCTTACTCGTTGCGAACTGCAAGGTGAACTGGGACGACAACTCACCAAACGAGTCAATGGAGGCACTCGGCAGTCTCGTAAACCAACTCAAAGCTCTTCCTTTCAGCGATGTGGGGAATATTCGGCATAAATCCGAGTCGTCCTGAGTGGAGAGGGTTGCCTGGGTCAGGAAAACGTTTAAATGTTCCTCGGGGTCGGAGGACCCGTCGTACTTCTCGATCGGCATGCTTTTCCAATGGTCTAACAGGGTTGCCTCCATTATTCTTCGGGAAAAGGGATGCCTTAGGGAGTGAGTGGTGGTATCGGCCTTGTTGGCTATCAATGAGCTGACGGGAGTTCGGGTCACATGGTCGGTCGGGGCGTGATATGCCGACTCCTCTTGGAGAGTAGGGGTTGACGACACATTTGTTTGGTTAAGACCTCGGAGCTCGGCATTTTGTCGTCGCAGTTCAGCCAACTCCCTGGCGTCGGCCTCTCTCTGCCTTCGGATAGCAGCCATTTCCTCTCGTAAAGCATGCAAGTCATCTTGGAGGTCAGGTTGGTCTCGGTTAGTGTTCGGCCGGACCTCTTGTATCACAGGTTCTGGTTTGGTTTGAGGCATTCCATACGGGTAGCGTTCTTGGTTGGTCATGACGGGGTTGCTATCGAGATTAGGAATCGGTTGAGTTGTTGTTGATTGTCCTTTGCGGGTCACTACCATGTCTTGGTCTCAGTCGTAGAGTTTGGAAGGGGCTGAAAAAGTCTTCTCGGCCCCACGGTGGGTGCCAAATAGGATCCACACTTCAATTATCTTTGTTGTGACGGGTCGGATCTTGGGTCTCAGTCTTCTCGTTCCAATCCGGGCAGTCCGAAGTAAAAGGGGGGGTGTGCCTGCAAAGACACTCCGACGCTCAAGTTAGTGCTCGGCGTAATAAATGCGGTGGTTCAGAATTAATTACATACCTCGTTGGGGTCCTATTTATAGTAGTTCTTATTGGGCCGCGATTAGGGACTGGGCCCCGGAAAATTAGGGGTCTAATCCTATGCATTATGTTAATTAATCTCTCCGTAACCATCTTGATGATGCCGACATACTCGGCTGACCCCGCCGACACGTTTCGCCCCTATTTGGGGGAGTCGGCGGGTTCGGGTACTCGGCGTAAGCAACGCCGACGCGCTTCGCACCTATCTGGGGGTGGTCGGCGGGTTCGGGTACTCGGCATAAGCGACGGTCTCGGGTATTCGGGCGAGTCGGCCACCATACGGTATAGTTATTTTTAGTCACACTTGTATGTAGTGCCTATAAACACTTAGAAATGAATGGAAATAATGGAATTAATTATTGAGAAATGTTATAGATTACAAAGGAAAAAAAATTAATATTTTTAAAATAATTTAGCAAAAAAATATCAGTAACTGTTTTTCATAAAATATAATATAAGTATTTTATTGATAATTTTGGTATATTATTTTTATTAATAAGAATTATTTAATATTTATTTAATTATTTGATATATTTTGAAATATAATATAAGGTATTTTATTAAAAGGTTTATTATAATATTTGATTAAGAGAGAAGGGATTTATAACTATGGTTAAATGTTTTAATTAAAAGAGGGTTAAGGTTTTTAAAAAAGCAATTTTTTTTATCAAACCCTTTTTACACTTTCATTCGTACGAGTTTCAAAGTTCAAAAAATATAAGTAAAAAGAAAATCATCCTGGAGTCGTGTATCCATCTTCTCTCCCTTACCAAGGTAAGGGAGAGTAAGAAACCTCGCTCTTGGTGTCGAATTGTATGTTGGATAGTGGAATTGGCTTCTAATCCTTTGTATGATATATGCCTATGTATATTTTTCTAATGTTTCTATTTTGCTTTTTGTTCTTCTTACTCATAATTAATGTATGAATTTTTGGAATGTATGATCAATTATACATTTTGGGTTGTAATTATATGATCTAAAGTTCTTGTGGGTTTCTATGGAAAATCCTAAGGGAATTTGTTGTGATAATTTGTGAAATTATTGATTGATACGTGTAAATTGAGTGATTTGAAATGTTAATTACATATTATAGAGTGATTTTATTGATTATATATGTTTTTATGCGTGAAATTGGATGTAATTATGTGAATAACTTGTAGTCGTTGAGAATACGTGATTTTCACGAAGGAAGATCGTGTTTTCACTTAGCAAAACGTGCAAGGTCGCTCAATGAGAAGTTTCGAGGAGCTCAACTCATTTAGCTAGATATTGGTTTCTTAGCAAGAAACCTTTGGGGCTCAACTTGCTTTGTTAGATAATTGGTCGCTCAATAAGAAGCTACAACTTGCTCAACTATATATTGATCGCTCAATAAAAAATCTCAAGAGGGCTCAACTAGATGATTGGCTACTCAATGAGAATGTCCAATTCACTCAGTTAGATATTTGTGACTCAACTAAATGTTCTTGGATAATGATTATTAATTGGTTGTTTTACTTTTACAATTTTGATATTACCATTTTACTAATGTCTGAGTAATATATTTGAGAATGTGATATTTTAATACATGACTAATTTTTAATCATGTAAAAAAACTATTTGATTAAAAAACACAACACACATAAAATATTTTTGTTTCTTAAAAAAATTGATCTCTTATTATTATTATTATTATTTTTTTTTGTCGTAATGGCCAAAAACAAGGGGCCATCCCCACTGATTTTGATCACCTTCCTTTGCCTTACACGATGAACAATGATACGTACGTAAATATTTTCTATTACAAACATTTTGTTACTATTTTTGTTATCATATTAATATTTCTTTTTTGTTATTTTTTGTCTGAGTATCAAGTAACACGTCCACGTACCCACCATTTTTCTAATTACACGATATGTGTCGGCTCAGCAGTACCATCGTTACATTATAATCCGACTTTGGACCAACTCAACGGGCTTTATTAAAGAATAATAATGAACTAGTTATTATTAATTATCTATGAACCACTTCTTTCTCACTTTCTCTGTTTTATAATTTTCTACCATGCACATAGATTTAATTTCGAATTTTGTTAATATATATCATCATCGTATTTCTCATGAATATATACATAATATTAAAAATCACACTTTTAATTTTATATATATATATTTATTTATATACGAGTAATAGACAAAATATACATATATTTGACTAGAATCACAAAACAACTAACAAGGCTGTAGTCTGTGTTCACTCCTTACCAGTTATACCTTTTTTTGGTATGCCTTACTATTAAAAATATAAACATGTGTGAGATGAGGTCATCAACATCTTATAATACATTAATTCAAATCAAATTATTGAATTTAATTTTTTAAGTAAGACTTTTTAATTAACATTTCGTATTTTTCTTTTTATTAGTTAAAATCATAAACACGGCAACAAAATTTTAATCTAAAATTATGTGTATATTATTTTAATCTCTCACTATTAAACTAATCTTAATAATTTTAAGATTTTATATTCTCATTTTGTAAGTGAAAAATAAAACTTAATTGGGATGAAAAAAATCCTACTAAAAATGATTAAGTAAAAAAATTAGCTAAAAAAAATAAATAACGAAATTAATGAATACTTTATATAATAATGTAAAAAAGAAAAATTGAAAAATATGTTGTTATCTTAGGGATTGTACCAACTGTTAGGTAATATGTCTGACTTCTTTCATATAAAATTATAAATATGTAAATGTATCTATTTAAATAGTTTCTTTTATCATGTTGTCAATATTTTATTTGATCTTTTGAGATAAAACTGCTTTATATAGAAAATACTGCGGTCCTGAAAAAAAAATGCCAATGAATGGTAAAATAGGAGTCGGGTCAACAATTATCAAAAGAACTGTAGCATAATAGCATATTTTATTACTATTAAGAATATTTTTATATTACATACAATTTAATAGTTAGAAAAATGTTAAAAATTATAAATTTCGATAAATAACAGATTTTTGACATTCTTTATATTTTTTACTTTTAGGTAAAAGAAAATATAATTTTATATTGATTAATTAGAGTAAAAAATTAAATATCTTTGATTATTAATATCGTAATTTTAATAGCATGATTTGAACCATTCCATAAAATTAAAATAAAAATAAAAAAGTCATAAGTCAAGTCTACTTACTACTTCCCATATAATAATATATCATCGATTTTTTTAAAACATATAATACATCACCGATAATGATTAATAACCCATCCATTTAATTTAAATTTGGAACATTGAAACTGTGTCAACGATGGGACACTCATAGTTAATTGTGAATTTGTGTATTTTATTTTCATGAAGTAATAAACTACATAATTATTTATTGTAATCGTATCCTTGAACTTGAGTTGAAATAATAATTGAATTGAATGAATATTTAATTAATGGTCAAATAATATGATATCATCGTTCTTATTTTTAAAGTGTAAGTTTGTATACATAATACAAAAGTAAAATAGAATTTTAATAATATAATCCTACTACACCAATAGTGAAAGACTCTCGTACAATGGGATTGTTGAATCGCGTTGGTAGGTTAGGTGTAGAGCATGCCATGTTTATGTCTCAACTCACGTTTAGGTTTAGCAATTTATCCTATAGTTATTAGCTGTGTTTTTAAAATTGAGTGTGGAATTGAATCGGTTTAGAAACTTATTTAACGTTTGATAAATTGTGATGAGATTAGTATTAATAAAATAAAATAAAATAATAATAATAATAATAATTAATAATATATAAAATATATTAACTAAATACGATATATAATTTTATGACAAATTTCATTTACATATAAATTCTTAGTATTTAATATATGCGTCAAAGTTCAAACTAAATATAATGTAATATTGAGAAAATAGGTAACACATTTACAATGTAAAATAATTTTACACCGTTATTCAGTCACAAATTAATGGTCATTTATAATGATCAGTTATGATCTCTACATTTAATGGAATCAACAACTTATAACGAAAGACAATTGCAATTAATTAGGATCAGTACAATCACAAGACTTGAATATGTACACTATAACATGTATACATACAGTCACCAACTAAACTAAAAAAATATATACGTGTGTATAGTACTCTAGTTATGAAAATAAAAATCTTAAGTTGTCGATAAAACAACTACTAATAACTAAGTAAAAAGTTATACTAATGGCAATATCTGATTAGTTGATAGTGCAAAATTATTTTACATTATTAGTGCATCACTATTAAACTATAATATTTAAGTTCAAATTTTAATAAATACAATAATGTCCATTAACAATAATAAGTTTATATCTAGAATAAAAAATGTCAGATTAATATAATATAAATTATAAAAACTTAAGATATAAAAAATGTAAATTAACATAAATTATTAAATTAAATTTTTATGAAAAAAGTATTAAATTTAATTTATTATAATTTATAATTTTATTAAATATTTTTTTATTACTATTAAAAATATTTTAAATAAAATTTTAAAAACATTTTAAGGTCCATTAACAATAATATGTTTAAACCGGGACGACAACTCACTAAA